ATCTGTCGAGTCCCACCCTCCTCCACCTCCACCTCTTGACCCCAATTTGGCTCATCTCCCGTCAAGTGCTCTTCTTCACAACCTCGATTGTCCAAGTCTCTTTCACTCACTTCATTTCTCTTCACGTATGTCTTCTCACACCTCCTGGTACATATACATCTCTCTCTCTCTCTCCCTTTCTCTCAACAGACGATCTGCTACAGCTGCCTCGCGTCCAAGGCCATGAAGGTGGGGCTGATGACTGGATTTCCAGCTCTTCCAACCACACATTGACACCGGCCCAGATACCAACTTGACGTCAGCGATACCGGAAACCTCAGTCTCTACGACTCCAGGCTGAGAAAAAAACCTGAGGGGAACCGAGGCGAAATCAGTCAATCAGACAGTCTCTGCATAAATGTGTCTGCCTCCTAGCAACTGGCGACAACTGCAAGTCGCCAAACCTGTAAAACAGGCTAATTCGCTCTCTCCGACAACACTCCAGCATCCAACTACTCGTAAGTAGTACGTGCTTGTCTAAGGCAGTATACATGGAAAAGTTATAATTCAATAAACCCCCTCATTTCGTTAGTTTTTTAATCCTTACGTGATGCTAAACACATACCAACACACAAACACACACTCATATATTGAAAGATAACTTTTCTTTGTATACGGTCTTAGACAAGCGAGTACTACTTACAAGTAGTTGGGTGCTGGGGTATTGTTGAAGAGTGCGAATTAACGAATATATAATATATATAATAAAGGTTTACTGCATTGAAGACGTATTTCAAGTGGGGTAATAGACGAAAAGTCGGTACTTTTTCACCGGAAATGATGGATACTGGCCTGAGAACTGTGTTGGCTAGAATGTACCGGAATTTTCCACCGACTTCTTCCTCCCTACTTGTGAGGTCAACTACGCGAAGCTCTTTATCGCGGCACACTTACACTCGAAATGGAAGTAGAGTAAACAAGTGGCAAAACAAGAGAAGCTGAGTTTCGAAGAATCCCTCATTAGATTGCACCTGGCATTCATTTCATTCCACTTGAGAAGACGGTTGGAAGGGACTCGTTAATCGGCCTCATTAGACGCCGAAGGAGCGTTGTCTTGGACTTTTGTCTGTTGAATTGTGCCACGATGGACTTCAGGTCACAGTCCTTCCACGCCGATGACTCTGTGCTGAGTTTTCGGCCTTCATGTTACGGACATCGTCAGAGCGAAAAAAAATCTAAACCAGCAAAGTGACCGGCTAATTTAGTGTTTTTCGACGATTGTTCATGAATAATATTTTTGGATACATCACACATGAAATATGTAAGCACATTTTCTGCATATATATACATTTACTACTACTACTACTACTACTACTACAAATATGATAATTAGAAGCATTACTTTCAGTGGCAACGATTAATATTACCAGTTTAATTAGAGTCACACTTACTGCCTTAATTTCTAGTTTTAATAATACTTATTATTGCCAATATTTGTATTACTATAGCTACTTTTCCTTCTGCCGTTGATAGAGTAACTAATAATAATATGACTAAATATCTTTTATATTTTATCAATACTTTTAACTTCATTACTTATATTCAAATGTATATTTTTTTACAATTACTACTGCCTCGCTTAGTAGTGTTGCTAATGAATACATTACTAATATCAGTATTATTAGCAATTTAATGAGAATTTTATTTTTATATATGTTAATATAATTTTTATATTATCCTTATTACAAATTGTTATCCTTGCAATCTCAATTACCACGTCAATCAATACGGCTATTTTGAAGATTAGCAGCAATTACTTTTACTGAAATGAGTATTACCATTACTATTGCTATTAGTATAATTATCAATACCAATACTATTTATATTGACGCTTATTGACGCTGTTACCCTTAACATCTTGATTACTATCACTATGGTCACATTTAATAGTATTCTTACTACTATAACTGATACTCTTAATACTATTTGCATTAA